GGCGTGGATGGCAGACACGCCGCGGGTCTTGTTGAGATCACCACCACGACCACGAGCGGCGACAGCAGCGGTGGAAGAAAAGTTCGAGCACTGGACGGACGACCGGTTCAGGGAGAAATGGAGCGACGGGGCGAGGTACGGAGGGGGCAATTCGACCAGCGGGAGGCTCCCGCTCTGGCGAGCCAGCCGCAAAACCGACTGACGATGCATTGTGACCGAAGGGCAGCCTGGTGACGGCGAAGGGACTCGGTGGAGGATGTCCTTGCGGCCTCGGGATCAAAAGCGAACGGGACGGACTTTTGGCGCCTAGGTCACGTGTGCGGCTGCGGCTGGGGTGGCACAGTGCAACCAGCTGGGACAACCTCATGCACAGCGCGGGGAGAACTCGAGGTCGGAAAATAGATGCGGTGCTCTCTACACATGTGATCATGAAATACATATGGGCTGGGCTGGGTTGAGTGGGGGATTGTATGTGGTGCAGCTGGCGAGTGTGCCATTTATGCTGCTGTTACGTGAGTATGTAGCTAGCCAGAGAGGAGCGTGAACAGAATCACTCGTTTTAGCCCTTCCAACAATTCAACTCACCCATTTGCAATTTCCGTATAGCAAGGCCAGCCCCCCCATCACAAAAGCTCGTCCACCTGCTAGATCCCGTGTGTGGTCGTGTGTTCTGGCAAAACAAAGAAGCCGTGCATTGATGGAAGGCGGCTGTGGGTGGTCCGTGCGCGGGCGGAAGCGCGCGTTTGCAGCCACTCCACCTCCAGAGCCGTCGCAACAGAGTGTGGGCAGAGATCCTGGCTGCACATTGGCTTCTTATCGCTTGCATGCTTTGACGCTGAATATCCCCTCGAATCCAAACGCAGAGCCTTGGTCTTTCATCAGTATTGCTCGACCGACCAAATCTCCACTATGAATAGGCCAGGTTTGTCTTTTTCACGTCCTTCCCTTTGTCCTCCCGATCGGGCTGGCTACGGCAACCCCAGCAGTCTCCGATCGGGAGTTTCTTTTGTTTTCATCGTCGTCGAGCTTCATGGTGCGGTGTGGAGGGCGGCTGGTGCTTGGACCCGCGGCTCGTTTCCCTTCTGGCTTCAATTGCAAGCTCTCTCCAGATGGATCTCCCACGCCGACCGCAATATCCTCCAACGCCATGCCAAGCCCCTCCCCCGGCTTTGCTTGAAGCAGTCCCTCTCCGACCATGACCGGCTTTGTCAATCACCTTGGTTATGTCGCTGACCGCTGTATGGCTTTGCAGGACCAGGCCCCCAGCCTTTGCGAGGCATGTCCGGGTTCCCCGCACAACAACAAGCACAGGCTCGAAATGCGGCGTTGGCGTCGGCGCGCTTGCCAAACGGCAAACTTGGTGCGACTTTTGTCTGGCCTCGACTGGTAGAATCGCCCTGAAAGCTAACGGCGCCGGACGGAACAGGCAGCGGAGCGAATTGGAACTTCAATTTACCCGTCAGCGGAACGCCAGGGATACAAGGCAACCAGCAGCGCAGCATAGGGACTATGGGAACGTTTGCACAGAGTCTGAGCGGTTCCCAACCTGCTACGCCTTTGGACCTATCGTGAGTGTGGTTTTCTTACTTCCAGGATTGGGCTCTGGGGCCGACCTGTTTGAAGGACGTGTCGAGCTTATTGCTGAGAACTCCTGTTATCTTACCCAGAGACTTCCCTTCGCTATCCGGTGCGCCGCCGCAATCGCAGGCCCAAAACCCAAGTCATCTAGTATGGGCAAATGCCAGCCAACGTGCGATGCAGCAGACCCCCGTGCAAAGGCCGCAGCATGCTACGTCCCAAGCACCCTCACGAGCTCCGCAAACACAAACCCACCACCCACAACAGCCATCCCAACCCTCTCATGACGACGTATTCCCTTCGGGCGCTCAGTTTGCGAATCGCTTGGACGATTTTAGAAACGGCGGGCAGGGGATCAGCGGTCAATTAGGTTCTGGAGGGCAACCGCAGACCGGCAACATCGAGGAATTCCCCCCACTCGGGCGTAATGTCCCCACGGACCTCGGTCAAGATCGGAGAGGATCGTTGATGCAAAGTGCAGGGCTTGGCAATTACACCGGTGGCCTTCCGTTCACGGGTGTGAGCCAGGCTCAGTCTGCCCAAGCTCGCAACATGGTCGCCGCGTCGGTAAATGGGCAAGAGCGGATAATGTCGCCTGCCAATGCAGGGTCAGGGGGTATGTTTTGGTGAATCATGGAAACCGATATTCAACTAAGCATTCTGTTCAGGCATTGAAACGTCGCGATCGCCGGTGAATCAGGGGTCTAGCAGAGTCCCGGGGCAAGAAAAGGAGGTAAGGACAGTGGCCGCCCGCGCTTTGTTCCGTTACTAAGTCCGATCCAGGAATTGAATAGCAGCGTAATATCGAATCCGAGTGCCTACAACGAGCAACACCTTATGCGACCGCCAGGGTTCCCCGCTACTGGGAAGGAGGCTTCAGGGGCTGCGCAAAGTACCGATCAATTACCATTCGCCGAAATGAGCGAACTCGACAAGTTCGGGCTTGCCGGCTTGTTACGGATGATCCATAGCGACAATGCCGATGTTTCTAGTCTCGCGGTAGGGCAGGATCTGATGACGTTAGGCCTGGACCTGAACCAACCGGAGTATGTTCTCCATCATACCTCCTAAACTCATCAGGCTTGCTGACATGCTCTAGACCTCTACATACATCGTTCGCCTCCCCGTTCGTTGCTTCCATGTCGGGTGTCCCTCTGGAGCAAGATTTCGCTCTTCCGTCATGCTACAGCGTTGCCAATGTCCAGCCTCTTCAGTCGCGGATCCCAAGCTTCAGCGATGAGACATTGTTCTACATATTCTACAGCATGCCTAGGGATATACTGCAGGAGGTCGTTGCGGAAGAACTGATGGGACGGAAGTGGAGGTACCACAAGATCGAACGGTGCTGGCTTACCCGCGACGAGACGTATCCCGGCCCGGTTGATGTCGAGCGCGGCGTGAGTGAAAGGGGAGTCTATCTATTGTGGGACCCTGCCAGCTGGAAGAAGGTCCGAGTATGTCTACCATCTGCTCTTCTTGAGGACGTTCCTCCATCGGTGTAAGCTGACAGGTGGCACAGCGCGAGTTTATCCTTCGGTACGAGGATCTGGACAACCGAATGGATCCCAACCGGGGTCTTGCGCGGGTTGGATTTCCACATGGTTCATGAATGTCAGAGGAACATGGGGTAGCACGGCGTTGGGTTCACTGCCAGTTCCGATGGTTGTTCAGGTGTTGTACTGCCGAGCAACAGGTGTTTCTCTAGCTTAGTGGTCGGTCCAGGACAGGACATTTATCGAATCAAATGACTTCTATGACTGATACTGTATAGCACGTAACTGCCGATGTATTCAAACTAACAGAACCATCAAGGCTTCTTCCCCACGGCAACAACCGCCACCGGCTCCATCCTAACCACGCCATCAGCCCCAAACTTCTCCTCAAGATACTCCCTCACCACCGCCAGAGCATTCGCCCCATGCTGCTCCCGCTGCTCGGGGGTCCAAAACGCACCGATCACAATAGAAATCATCCCTTGGCTGATCTCCATGAACTCGGATACAGTCAACGAGGTCTCCCTCGTAACCGCAGTAACCTTCACATCTTCAAACCCCTCCTCTTCAAACCGGTCCTTCACAAACGACTCATCATCCCAGCCTTCATTATGCATAGCCAGGAATTCTTTTATGCTGGGAAACTTGAGGTGTCCAGGCATGGTATCGACGGCTTCTTTGATGAGAAGGAACCATGAAGCTAATTCGTCTAGTATTAATACTTGATTCCAACCAAGGGACGAGTAACGTACAGATCTTCCACGTTGAAGTCGCAAGAATACCTCCCGGCTGGAGGATACGGAAACATTCTATGATCGTATCAGCTTCGGTTCCGAACAAACAGGAACAATCGGTATTTCATAGGGTCATACATACCTTTCATCGCAGCCCTCGCATCGGGAATCATCATGAACGCTATTACACCATTAATATACGTCAGTCACAATGGTCCCCTTCTCGCCCAGGGAAGAAATAAATAAATCAACTCACCAAAAGCCGTAAACACATTCGTATACTTCCCCCCCTCCAGCCCCGTACACTGCGCATCCACGACTCTGGCCTCGGCACCTACCCAGCCCTCCCTCTCAATCCTTGACTTAGTATACTCCACCATCGGCTCCGTCACGTCCCCACAGGTTAGAGTCCAGTGTTTCTTAACTTCGTCCCCGAGGGTACGGTTCAGGTAGCTGGATACTATGCCCAATCCGCAGGCATTGTCGAGGATGACGCGGGGATTATGGGAGGGAGTCAGGATGCCTGAGTTCTCAATGAGAGGAGGAACGAAGACTCCGGTGAGTTTCTCGGCGATGTGGTAACGGCTTACGAAGGAGGGGGTCAGGTAGGCTGATGGGGAGATTTTGGACAGTTTAGACATTGTGGATAGCTGGGATATGGTGGAGGGGATATGGGAATAGATCAGATGAAGAGGGTAATGGGGAGATTAGGAGATTTGGGAAAGATGCTGCTTCGGATGAGGATTGCTTGAGACTGAGGGCCCTTTTATGTCTTCATTTCACGTTGAAGGAATGGCTGTGCTTCATGGTGGCCTGGGAGTAATGTCTCCGATATGTCTCCGTGGGCACCTTGGGGGCTTGGGGTGGGATTCTGGGATTGGATGGTTGGTACCTGGGTGGTCTGCTTAGCAAATTATCTTGGTTCTAGACCAATGGTGGGTGTTGGTTGAGTGTGAAGTTTTTGGTATGCTACTATACCATGGCTCATGTGCCGGAGGGTTCGTATACTTCTATGCTTCGGGATGGGTAGGGTCAGCATTCCGTTCTACGAAATGTGGGTTGCTCAGCACTGACAGTACTTAGTAACAGACTCGTAATTCTGAAAGAATATTAAAAAAATATATTCAAAAAATGGAAATAGAAGCATTAGCCCTCCCTCGATAGGAGGGCGGGCGAGGCAAAAAGAAAAAAGAAACGTCCCGGGAGAGGATCGAACTCTCAACCTCACGATTAACAGTCGTACGCGCTAACCTGTTATTTGAATTAGTTACTGGGTGATGGGATGAATGTTTAAAAGGGCAAGCTTACCAATTGCGCCACCGAGACGACTCGTTGAAAGACTGCGCTTAAATGTGCTACATGAGGGGCAGTCAAATCATGGTTAATGCTTGACGAGTGCATCCTTCCGATAACTGAGACTGTCTGTCTCAAGCTTCGATGGATAATAAAGTTGGGTTGTTTTCCTTACTTCTGAATCTTAAGGAGATAATATTTTCGTCGATAATCGTTGTACGGAATTGCTGGTTTGCTATACTCAATAGCTCTCCTTGTTGCGGTCTTGAGGGAGGCGGACTCCAACTATAGAAGCTTTATGTAGATTTCCGCTTCCATCCCGTTGCTAAAGTAAATTCCAGTGCAAATTGGTATCAGTATGAAATTATTGGGATATATGTATACTAGTTCCTGTTGGCCACCACTGAAGCTTCGAATCACCTAGAATGGATACATGCCTTCTTCAGTTTGGATGCTAGCCCCGGTATAGAGTTCTACCTGGTGCAATTGCTTATCGGGAAAGACACGAGTATCACCACTCAATTTGACCACAATTGGTGCCTAGATTTCTCGGTGGAGTCAATGGACTACTCTTCACTGTTCCTCCTTTGCAGAATTGACCGGCATTTTGATGCATGGGCTCTATGGCCGAGTTGGTTCAAGTCAATGTCACAAGTACCGTGCCCATTGAGTACCGGTTGATAATTTGTATCTGAAGGTTTGTATTAGGTGGGTTCGCTTTAAGCCCGCCGCCAATCTATCAATGCCCTTTATTGCAGACTGAATGCAGACTGAGCTTGTTTGGAGACAGGAGGTATAGCTGCTAGCCTGCAAGTGAGCCATATTTCAGACGGGGTGAAGAGTGTCTATGAAACATGAAAAGCACGAGCAAGACAGGTCATTGGGCCTGTGCAGTACTATCCGCTTCCAAGGTTTGGTGTTTATCTCGGCTATCCAGGGCCTCTTACAGTCAAGCACTTCCTCGGGCAGTCGGGCTTTGCGGTTATATTGGACTAGGAGATGCCAAAGGAACATAGGCCTCCCTTGTTAAGTGCCTGCTCTGCAGAGTATCAGATTAGGCACTATTGAGAACTGGTGTCGTCATTCATAAAAAGGTTTTCTAAAACGGATGCATATCGCAAGCCAGCGGTAGAAGATGGGTGGCCAGCTCACCAACCAACATCTGCAACAGCTACCCCAGGGACAAGACCAGGGCTCCACCGATAGCTTGTCACCCGGTAAACCAATCCAGCTCGGCAAAAAGAAGGTGTGACAAGCAAAAATGAAAAAAGAAGCGTCCCGGGAGAGGATCGAACTCTCAACCTCACGATTAACAGTCGTACGCGCTAACCTGTATTTGAATTAGTAACTGAGTGATTGAATGTGTTTGATGAGTGAAGCTTACCAATTGCGCCACCGAGACTACTCAGTTATTGCAGGGGTCGGGTTGTGGCTTGATCAAGGGGCTTTATGATGAGCATCACCCCCTGTTATCCGTCGACACCATGGTGCTACCCCAAACGGGGATCGTTGTTATATCATTGGTTTTGGAGTTGTGACTGTTCAGGGATGATCAGATTCGGATAATGGCATGTTGTGGATTTTAATTGCATCATGGTAGGTGTGGAATAAGATGTGCTGGAATAAGGCCATCTTGGATATAGTCTCCGCAACCTCCCTGCCAGGGTGGCTCTCATTGCCAGCAACATACCGTTCTCAATAATGTCCCTGTGTCACCTGAAAACAAGTACTCATATAACCATGGAATACCATGGCCATCCGGCAGGCTCGCAACTAGAGTGATTGGTGTCCGATTGATGTGGCAACTAGTGGCAGCAAACGGGTATAGCTGCATGACTGGGGTGACATTGTTGCTAGTCGGGGAGTGACTGGCTGCAATGAGGGTGTAGGATGACAGTAGAAAAGGCCAGGCCGATGGTAGGTCCTAGGACCAGGAGCAGGCTGTTTTAAGTTGACGGTGGGATTCACTAGGACATTCTATGGTTCTGTCAGGTGATCGATCTAGTGTCACCAGCTTTGTACCGGTTCCCGTATCTTTGTTGCCACCCCGTATACCCCCACCTCTCCATCTTCAATGATCGAGTCAGGTCAGGGATCATCGAGAACTACTGTCAAAAGCCAGCTATTGAGTGGATATCCCTTACAGTCATCTCGCTGTTGCTCACCTGCCGACAGGCAGGCCGCTGGTGGGAATTGAAGATTGCTCGTGGCTATGGTTATAGCTCGCTACCCAACATGGGTGGCCTTGCTGCCATGACCTCGATAGTACGCCTTGCCAACAAAAAGAAAGAATTGGTCCGCTCGGAGTCCAAGGTTATTCACAGCTCAGTTTGGTGGTTTCCCCGGCTGCAAAAAGCTGGTGGTGGCTAGATCCACAAAAAGACGTCCCGGGAGAGGATCGAACTCTCAACCTCACGATTAACAGTCGTACGCGCTAACCTGTTATATTGAATTAGTAACTGATGGAGATGAATTGCTTGGAGATGTGAAGCTTACCAATTGCGCCACCGAGACAACTCGTTGATGCCGGCCCCAAGATTAAGACTCCTCAATGCGCAACTCTGATGGACCGGATCTGGGATGTACGGAACCATCATCTTCTTACAGCTTGATCTAACTCCAAGGAACCCGACAACGACTGCATATTAAAGAAATACATACATCGAAACTATTCTGAGCGGGCATACGATGCCATGAAATGGTTGTTATGAGTATTTCTTGGTATGTTGTACCCTAGGTCCTTCATGCGTGTTAGGGTTCTGCTTCTATTTATTTCGTGTTTCAGCGGTTGCGAGTTTCAATGCTCTACCCTGAGGGATGCATCCACGGCCAAGAAAGACAACCAAAACAATCCAGTTAGTATATACACACAAAGAATAGAAAACTACTACTGGCATGGAAAATATGGGTCTGCTGAGAGGTAGTAATTCTCTAATATGGCTAGAAACCGAGCCTACTTAACCCCAAGGACACTGAACCGCATTCCCTGGCAGACAAGAGAGCCGAAGCACAACTAAACACCGACAAGTACGAGGCTTTTCTGACGGAAACAAATATCCGAGGACGAATGTGCGCTGATGTCTGGTGAATCATTTATGGCTTCAATTGTGCATCATTTCCGACAGCAGCCAAACACGAGTATGCAGCACTATATGACTGGCCCACAAGAATGAAATGAGATGGAAGTCAAAGCGGCACATATTCCACTTAACTGGTTCATGATGATCCGCATGCCTAGTGGGGTATATGTGCCTAGCCAAACTGGTGACTATTCAAACATGCTATCGATTCACTAGGAGCGACCAAAGAGTGCATCTCCAGAAGACCATACTACTCATACGATTCGGAGGTGCATATTCTTAAAGCCTGAAAATATCATTTCCGATAATGGATGATGGACATGTTATTTTGGTGTACTCCGTACTGGGCCAACGCTCTATATCACAGATCAATGGGTGTAGGTTCCCGCCCACGGTCAACCCAGGGGGGCCCAAGCAATTCGAGTAGACAGGGGAATAGATACAAACAGATATAGGCACACCCACGATACAGAAGGACTACGATACCAATACCGTCGAATGTCGGACAGAATTGATCAGTCTGGAGCAAAGCAATATCGAAAAGTTATGGATATATGCACCCTCCCCAACACGATACGGGATATATCGAACCAAACCGTAGGAACAACAACAGCAAAGCTATCATACTAAAAGCCCCGAAGATAACCCCGAGGACCACAGTCCAGGATGATCTCCCATCCATGTACTGTCGGCAATATCGACCGCAGACCCGCAATCCCAGCTGACCGGGAGCCGTAGCATGCAGTCCCAGCCACCTAGAAGTTGGAACAGTCCACCAACGCGGTTACAAAACCAGTCTTCGTTGGCCGCATAGCTGGGACGACTGCGAGCCAGACGAGGAAAGCTGCATACATAACAAGCACTAGACAGCACCCCCAAGACATGCATTGTCCGTATTTGATAGTTGCATTGGGCTGAGGTCAATATACATAGCGAGACAACGCCGAGCAATGCTGGTTTGGTTGATTTCAATCCAGCGATACCCGAATCCCACAACCAGTATGAAGTTCTAGTCAGTTATTTTATGCAAGAAGTGGAAGACAGCCCACAGCTACACGATGGCACAACTGCCTTGAGAATCTTTACAGGACCAAAAAGAAAGGAACAGGCCCATGGCTCCACCTGAATGAATGCTAAAAATGAAAAAAGAAGCGTCCCGGGAGAGGATCGAACTCTCAACCTCACGATTAACAGTCGTACGCGCTAACCTGTATTTGAATTAGTAACTGAGTGATTGAATGTGTTTGATGAGTGAAGCTTACCAATTGCGCCACCGAGACGAGTTCTTGAAAAAAGCTCACCTTTATTGCTACATAAGCCAAGACCACTGACTCATACCCTCTCACCATGGAAAGGGCTATTACTGCCATTGATGTCAAAGAGACCAGATCAATAGACTCAGCTACCGTTAAATTTAGTATAGAACAAACTCGTTCATATTCAATAGGCTAGAATATCTCCGACGCTTATGGTGGCGTCCAGTCCCTATCACGTATAACCCCTCCATGATTACATTATCCGATAGCGCGCACCAAGCCCAAAAGAGCAAACCGTAAACAGATGGCACCCGACGGCAAAACACCGCCCGCAAAAACACTCCCCACACGTTAACATCCGGCAACCATCCCCCCGATCCCATCGCCTATGCACCTGATCTTCTAGTTCATGAGGCTGGATCAGAGTCGCAACCATGAGGATTACGGAGATTATCATTGACGTAAGTCGTGTTGCCTGGGCTCCGGGAATGAGTGATTGTTGACTTGAACCAGGGCTTTAAATCGTACGCCGTGCGTACGGTGATCTCAGGATGGTATGCGCAGATGGGGACGCTTCTCATCGTGTGATTATTTGCCAGTGGCTGACTGATTTCTCTGTAGGGACGAATCCTTCAACTCCATCACTGGCCTCAACGGCAGTGGTAAATCCAATATTCTCGATGCCATCTGTTTCGTC